AACAAATCCACCAAACAGATCGTGAAGTCTTTCAATGTGCACTGGATGGAAGAGAACATGACGGACGCTCGAGTTGTACCAGACTGGTAATTTGATTACACTTCTTTGTTTAAATCATTTAATGTGTTTTCAGATAATGTTTCAGGTTCATACTCAGGTCCGAGTGCAGCTGGTGAAGATGATGAGGAAGATGTTATCATTGGTTCATTCAAACCATCTGTGGTGATTCCCGAATCTCCTACGATGGATGCAGCTACACCAAGTACACCTCCTTCCTCACCAGTCCAAAAGTCTAGTTCAGACACCGAAGCCACTCCCCTAACTCCCGAAGAAGCTGAGATTCTCTCAAGGTAAAATGTAACTGCCACACAATTTTTCATGGAATTTCTCTTTCCAGAGCCGTTCGCAAATGAATTTGTGGCAAGTACTTCTCATGATCACAGACCGTCTGAAGTGGGTGATTCGGCACCGGGCAGATTTGACAACATCACAAATCTTCCAGTCACAGTCAATGATATCAGCCATCCAATCCCAACCAGAGTTCAACGTGATCATCCTATCCAGAACATTATTGGTCCACTAGAAAGCAGGGTTCATACTAGAAGTCAAAGTGGAGATGTAAATGAGTGTCTTTACTCATGCTTCATATCTTAAATTGAACCAAAGAATGTGGACGTGGCTCTAAGTGAACCGAGTTTGGTGGATGCAATGCATGAAGAGCTGAATCAGTTCGAGAAGTTGAAAGTATGGCAGTTGGTAGAGCTACCGAAGGGCAAGAAGTCTTTGGATACATGTTGGCTGTTTAAAAATAAGCAAGACGATAGCAGGGTGATTATACGCAAAAAAGCTCATTTGGTCGTTCGTGGATTCAGGCAAATAGAGGGTCTTGACTACACCGAAGTGTATGCTCCTATGGCGCATTTGGAAGCCATTCGTATATTCGTAGCATACGCTTCCTACATGGGGTTTACGGTTTATCAGATGGATGTCAAGACGGTCTTTTTGTATGGAGTCATGAAGGAGGAGATTTATGTTGATCAACCTCCAGGATTTTTCAATCCAAAGTTTCCAAATCATGTCTACAAACTGGACAAGGCTCTGTATGGTTTGCATCAGCCTCCTAGAGCTTGGTATGCTACCTTAACTGATCATCTATTGGAGCACGGGTACACAAGGGGAACGATCGATTAGACATTATTCATCAAGAAAGTGGATTCAAATTTGATTGTCGTCCAAATCTACGTAGACGACATCATTTTCGGATCGACCAAACCAGAGCTATGCAAAGAGTTCGAGGAAGTAATGAAGAAAAGATTTGAGATGAGCTCGCTGGGTGAAATAACAATGATTCTAGGGTTACAAGTTCGACAAGATTCGGCCAGAATTTTACTTCATCAAGGCAAATATGTAGAAGACATGCTAGAAAATTTCGGGTTTAAAGACTCAAAAATTGCTTCCACTCCAATGGTAGAAAGACCACTATTGAGGCCAGATCCAGAAGGAGAATCTGTAGATTAAACTGAATATCGATCGATGTTCGGATCTCTGATGTATCTGACTGCCAGCAGACCTGACATCATGTTTGTCGTCTGTCAGTGCGCTCGTTATCAGGCTAATCCTAAACTTTCCATTCAGTTGTTGTTAAAATGATTTTTAGGTAACTTAAAGGTAGCCCTAAATTGGGTCTTTGGTATCCTAAAAATCCCCGAATTTGATTTATATGCTTTTGCTCAGTAACTATGGAGATTGTGATTTTGACAGGAAATCTACATCGGGTGGATGTCAGTTTTTAGGGGACCGATTGGTGTCATGGCAATGTAAGAAACAGCAAACGGTGTCGACCTCGACAGCTGAGGCTGAATACGTTGCCGCCTCAGCCTGCTGCTCTCAGGTTATCTGGATTCAACACTAATTGCTAGATTACAGTTTGAATTTTCTTGATACCTCCATTTTCTGTGATAATGATGCGGCCATTAAAATTGCCAAAAATCCTGTTGAAAATTCAAAAACCAAGCACATCGACATTAAAGTTCATTTAATTCGAGACTGTTATGAGTGTAAGCTCATTCGTTTGGAACAAATTCACACCGAAAATAATGTGGCAGATTTGTTCACCAAACCTTTCAGTAAGGCTCGTTTCAATGTGCTTGTCGGTTTTTTTGAAAGTGATTCTTTTCGAAGATTAATTTTTTAATTTTTTTATTTTGTTTGTTTAAATTTGTGCATTTATTTTATTTCCTTTCTTCCCTATGCACAAATTTAGGGGGAGAAATCAAAAATAAAAAAAATTATAAAATGAAAAATAAAAAAAATTATAAAATCAAAAATTCCAAAAATATGTCTTCTTTCGTAAGTGTTTTTGGGAAGTGATATGAAGTTTAGTGTTAAAGAGCAATCTGAAATACGTGTAATGCAATGAAGTTGAATTGTTTAGACTCTGTGTTCAATGTGCTGGTAGGCACGAAGGATTCAAAATGAAAGGACTTGACAGTGTTAACTAATCTCGACTTAGATAGTTTCATTTGGACTGACCATACGACGCTGAGATAGATTGAGCAGTGAGATAAACAAGGGAGTCTGCGAGATACATTAAAGTTACTGATCATTTAGAACTGTGGCTCAACACTTATTCGACGTACGGACTTATGTCCTTAATTCTGGTGCTGAAAAAGATGACTGGGGGGTTTCTGATAAAGTAGGTCTGTGTGAAATTGTTTTTCTTTCTTATCCTCTATGTCAGTCATATGTTGCCCCCTTTGCGTGATTGGAAGAGATCCGACCTGGGACGCAACATATGCATCTCTATTTCTATGCATCTCTATCTATACATCTCTCTATGTATATATGTCATTCATATGTTGTCCCCTCTGAGTGATTAAAAGAGATCCGACCTGGGACACAACATATGCACCTTTCTATCTCTCTATCCCTCTATCTATGTTAGTCATATGTTGTCCCTCTGTGTAATTGGAAGAGATGCGACCTGGTATACAACATATGCATCTGTATATCCATCTTCTCTTTCAAATAATTGAGCATTCACCTAAAGTAAAGAGCTCTTTTGGAATTCCTTGATTTCTAGGGTATGTCGTGAAGTGGGGAATGCGTTCTAGTGCGCTTAAAATTGAATTGGTTCATGACTAAAGGTTGACTGTAGATCTCGCTGCTGAATTTTAGTGGACAACAATATCCTTGGTCGTCGTCAGCAAAATGGTCTATTTAAGAATATAATTTCAATGTCTTGTCACTTATAATCTGCCCAACTTGCAAATATCATTTGTGTTTAAGTGGACCACAATATTGGTGATTGACCATAGCTATTCATGCAGGTGTGTGATGAGAAACGATATTAAATTGCTTGACAACTTTTGATCCCAAAATGTTTTAAATTTAATTATTAAAATGTGTTTGTTTTATTTTATCTTATTTTTTTGTTTCTAAAATTTTTAGTTTTATTTATTATTATTATTTTTCATTTGGCATTTAATTTACATTCATTTCAATTTTTATTTTATTTTATTTTTTTAATCTAAGAAACGAATTACTAGTTGGATTTTATTTTGGGGCCCACCGAATTCAGTGGCCCAAGGGCCGAGAACCCATTTTAGGGTTTAAAAGGGATTCGTGTTTCATTTTTATTATCACCACCGAAATCACCTTCTTCATTCTCTCAAAACTTATGCGAAAACTCTTCCTTTCTTACTGTTCATCGTGAAAACTCTTTTACCCACTGTTCATCTGTTCATCTTCGGCTCAAATCATCAAACTTCTTTTGATTTTAACTAGGTATATAGCTTACGAGTAAGATTCTTCAGTTTCTATGATTTTTCTTGGAAGTTTTAGCAGGTTTTCAAAAGAGTTTCCGGCGAGTTAACGGTGTTTTCCGGCGAAGTATCAAGGGTTTAAAAAAAATTGAATCGTCGGGTTTTCTGTTTGACCCGGATCCGACCGAAATCGATTGAATCCGACCGAAATCAGCTTGTTTTGACCGAAAACATCCCCTTTGACCGAAATGTGTAGTTTGACCAACCGAATTCACTTGGTTTTGACCGAAAACACTTAAGTTTGACCGAAATCATATCTTTTGACCGAAATCAACATTTTGACCAAAATTTGAATTTTTTAGAAAATAAGATTTTAATTTTAATTTTTTTATTGTTCTCACTTGATTCGTTTGGTGCAGATAAATGGCAGATATGTTGAAGTTTGTTGATTCTCACAATATCACAGGATATCTCTTGGATCCACCTGCCGCGCCCGATGAATTCAAATCCATGATCATGGGTTTGAACAATTGTAGAATTTCCCACTCTCTTCGTGCCAATCCAGTCATATACAACGACCTGATTAACAATTTCTGGAGGAATGCATCGTCCAACTGTGCAAGAACGAATGGTGCTGGTGCTATTGAATCTACTGTGAAAGGCAAGCAGATTATCATTACAGAGCAAGTCATTCGGGAAGTGCTTCAATTCAGAGATCAGTCTACTTTCCCAACAGAACTCCCTGCTGCCAAGATCACAGAAGTGTTAAAGAAGATGAATTACGAAGGAATTTTTCCTCCAACAGTCAATAAACTACTTCCCCCTTACTGGAGATTTTTGGCTCATACTTTTGTTAGCTGCATCTCTGGAAGAAATGGCGGGTCGGATGAGATAAGCCAAACAGTAACATCAGCCTTTGTAGCGCTAACAATGTATTGGGAGTACAATTTCTCAAAGTTTGTTTTTAACGAAATGAAGAGCAACCTTTCTGGGAAAAAGAAGGATCTTTTCTTGATGTATCTTTGGTTTTTACAAATGATCTTTGATGCCATGCATCCCCAGCTGGAAAGGACCCTTGATACTCTTGATGTCAAATCCCTAGGTCCAAACACCTTTGGACTCATGAAACAAGTACGAAAAGCGTCAAAGGTTGTTTTCAAGGGAACAGAAGCACTGGTGAAGTTTGGAAAATTTGCAGAGACAGAAGGTGTTCAAACTACTAGTACTCTAATTGCTATGGTGGCCGAAGAGCATGTGGCGCCATCAAAATCAAATCTCAGTTTTTCATTTGAGGTTTCCGATGATGATGATGATGTGGATTTTCGTATGTTTGTACCATCGAAGGAGCCGATCAATGAGGTTGTGATTTCTCCAGCTGAGACAGAGAAAGAAATCAACATTTTCAAGCAACCAAACGATCCAACGCCCGAACAGATGGAAGCCCTTATCGAACAATTACAGTTAACTTCGAGGAGGCCTCCCCAAGCAGTTCCTGTTACTACTGAGTCTCCATATGGTAGTGATAAAGACGATTCAAATGCCTCCCTGATGCCAAAAAAGCGAAGACGTAGAGATCCTAGGCCGGGAGTGCTTATTACTAAACCAGTACAACAACCAACTTCAAATGTAGAACCATCCCGGGTTATTCAAGATGATCAAAGCCCAATTATTGAACCAGTTGCGGTTCATCAAGATGTTCAAAGCCCAATTTTTTACGAAGACTTCGACTTCTTAGCTAATGAGGAAACTTTCGCCTCGGGAAGCTCTTCTGCCCCACCACCTCCAGAGCACGATGCTGCATCTGTCAAGCTAGCCAAGTTACTTGCTTTTCAAGACTCTATTCCTCAGTCAAGAGGTAAGGGAATATCTATTGGCTCAGGGCACGGAGGTGATGAAGACTCTAAACAAACAATTTCTGATTGGCAATTTGGATGTGAGATTTTATGAGCTTGAGAAGGAAAATTCTCAAAAGAATAAGCAGATTTCAGACCTTCAGGCCAATCTTGTCGGGTTGACAGCTCTTTATTTTGATCTCAAAGATAAATTAATTGGAAAATTTGGTGATGAATTCAAGACTTCAGGTTCTGATGATGGAAAAGCTCCAGAAACATCTGAAAGAGTCGTAGTTTCTCCTGCTCCAGATGCTAACATTGATCAATTTCTGTCTTCTGTCCCTGTCACAGCTGAAGAAAGAAGGGAGAAGATGAGAAAAGTTGATAAGCTGAAGAAAGACAAAATGCTTCTGATGAAAAACTCTGATCAGAATGCACCAGGTGATCACCCACAGATGTTTATCAAAGAAACTGGAAAGCAAAAATTTGCTGACAAATATAGTGATTGTTCTGGAATTCGTATGTGGGGATATGAAGCTGATAAGAAGATGTGGATTGTAAAACGAAAGAGCGGAAACATTGAGTACTATGCGAAGAAGATTGACTTTGTTTCGTGGACAAAAGTTGATCTTGCAGACTGGTTTACGCACCGTTCCACAATCCAACAAATGATCCCAACTTATGGGCGTTTAAAAGGTTCCTAGAAGACAAAGCAAAGCAGAACTTTGAAGGCTTGAAAACATCGTCATCGTTCGTTAAAGAGGCCAAGGGTGTCATTGATCCCCGCACCAACAAGACTATGGTGAATGTTATGTGGCCACCTAAAAATAAAGCGAAAAAGATCCCTATCAGTCAGCGTTTACCTGATGGCTCTTTGAATGATTTACTATATTGGGTATATGATGAGGCTACGGCTACTGTTGTAATTAAGACGGAAAAGGATCAGATTCGTCTTGTTGATCCTATGGATTTGATGAAATTTGGCGAGCATGACTTTCATACTTTATCCAAGCATCATCATATGGTGGAAAATGAAATGTTTGAAGCTGCTACAAAGGCTTTAAACGACATGATAGCGACAATCATTGATAAGAGGTTGTGGGTAGGAGAATTGGCTGATTCTTATGTTCATCTTGTGGAGAAACCATAAAGTCAGCCTGCAATAAACCAAGGGGGAGATTGTTGGGTCATATTTAAATGGTTTATGTTGGGCTTCTAGTTTATTATTGTTCTTGGGCTTAGTTATGTTTATTGTTGATGGGCTTTTGGTGTTTTCGGTTATGGGGACCGAAATCACTATGGTGATTTCGGTCAGCTTGGGCTTGGGCCTGTTAAAGCTTTGTACTAGGTTTGTATATATTGCTTTTCAGCCGTTTAGGAGCTAGTTGTTGATCATTATTGTAGTATTCGGCTGAAAAGAGTTTCTTTGTGTACCAGACGATTTCATCTAATAAATCGTGTGCATTAAGAGTTGTTTGTGTGTTCTTGAATCACTATCTGATTTATATTCCACATTCTTTAGATAGTTTGATTGATATCATAGTGATCTAAGTGTTTTGGGACTTACAGTTTATCCCGATGATAACCTTAGAACCTCTCAAGGGAATCGACACCAAATCAATAGAGAATCTCTCACTAAACAGGTCTAGGACACACCCACGGAAAACGCTCAAAGCACTCATAGTACGATCATCCGTAATCTCAGCCTCCAATGGGGATTCCATAATCCCGGGAGCATCGCAAAACTTCTTGTTAAGTTCAAGAGATACAAAGGATCGAGTAGCCCCCGATTCAAACAAAACATGAGCGGTCAAAAAATTGACCAAAAAGGTTCCTATACAAGATCAAAATAATCATAAGCATAAACAACAAAAGAAATAGGAGATAGAGATAAGACACATATCGGTAACCACATCCGGCGCTGCTCGGGCCTCATCGGTGGTCAGCTGAAATGATCCTCTCTTCACCAAAGGAGCCTCCGCCTTGTCTTGGAGGCCATCAGTAATCCTCAAGGTGGCTGGCAAAGGCGCCACCACTTCTCCTCCGGACAATCTCGGACAATCGGCCTTTTTATGGCCGGTTTGATTGCAATGGAAGCAAATCAGAGCCCTACTGGACATCTCCTGCTCACGTGGCCCGACTGGCCACAACTGGAACAACCTGAACCCGTCGCTCGACATCCCCCACTGTGCAGCTTGCCGCACTTGCCGTAACGGCCCCGACCCTGCTGGCCTCTGGTGTGAGCATCAGAGGTATTGTGCCTCTTAGCCTGGCCCACCGCTGTCTGTACCTGCTCTGGCTTCCACCTCGACTGTTGCTCCAACTCAATCTTCTGCTTGCGGTCCTTCTCAATCATATCATTCAAGATCTTACACCCTGAAAAGCTCACAAACTCCCTGATATCCTCCCTCAGTGTGTCATGGTATCTCGTCTTCCTCATCTCCTCATCCACAACAAACTACGGAACCACAAAGCCCTTTTCCTAAATATGGTTGTAATCTCCGTGACAGTCTTAGTAGTATAGCGAAGGCCTTGGAATTACCTCACAATTTTCCACACCTTGATAGCTAGTGCAAACTCCCTATGGAATCTCTGAACAAAATCCTCCCAGGTCATCACTTCCACTGCGCTGAACCTACAACTCGGGTAACCTCCTCCCACCAGTTTCGTGATCTGTCCCTTAGTAGTCAGGATGCAAATCCCACCTTTTCCCCCAAAGGGCAAAAGCTCGTCCACTAAGCATTCTCCATGTTAGCGATCCAGCGAAAACTAGCGATGGGGTCCTTAACCCCAAAGAACTCAGGAGATCCATAAGCCTTGAACTCCCGAAATGAGGGAGTTCGAGCTCCAACCTGACCTGCAACAATCTCGACTCGAAAATACCTGATCATCTCATCCATCAACTCCATAATCCCCTCCTTAATGGTACCGAAAAACATAGGGGTAGCATCCAAGATACCGCGAGTAACCTTGACCGAAATAAACTTGCACAACCTCTCGTCAATTGGCTCAGAACCTAAACCCGAGCCTGAACGAGAACCCGAACCTGAACCTCCTCGAGTAATGTCACACCCCGCTAAAGCAGAAACACGGGATGCGACAGTATAAAGGGTCTCATAGCAAAAGTTAAAAGACAACACCAACCATAGTATTAAAAAACATTACAATTTACAATGAGTGTGAACAACTTTTCATAATAAAGTACAATGCATTTGAAATAAAACACATGCAAATGCTCCTAGAAGTGATGTGTCTCCAGGTGCCTCTTACTAGATGATTCCTGAAAAAGCATGTAAAACGAGCGTCAACTATAAAAATAGTTGGTGAGTTCACAGATTAAAAATATTATTGGTTTCATGAATCGTAATCAAAGTTTTGATAGAAGTTTCCATAAATAAAAGTACATTGCTCAAATGAGTAAATAAGTTTGCATAAACAAAGTTCGTTGTCATCAAGAGAAATAAAGTATGTTGCCCAATGAGACGAAACGTTCATATTCTCATGGGAAATAAAGTTCGTTGCTAAAATGAGAAAAAAGCTTCATTGCTATAATGAGCAATCAAGTTTGTTGCTAAAAGGAGCAAACAAGTTCATTGCTAAAACAAGTAAATAAGTTTCCAGTAATAAAAGTTCGTTGCTATAATGAGAAACTAAGTTTATTGCTATAATAAGTAAACAAGTTTGTATTAATATGAGCAAACAATGAGTTCACAACCAAGCCTATGATTGACGCCCTATCAAGATCTATGCCTATCGTTCCACAAATTAATATGGTATCATGCACTCAAGCAATCGGGGGAGTGAGGAGTTATCAATTCCTAATAGCGCTATCAATAATGACCATTGGCTCAAAGAGTTAATGGTTGGAGTAAAGTGGAAGGGACTTAAGACGATAAGGCCTCATGTTTCAAGTTTCATAAACATAAATAGCAAAATATAGCTATCAAGTTTGATACAAATCAATTTAAATACAACGAACAATAAATAGTTTTTCGGACGTGCGTTTCCACCCCAAAACATAAAAACCGAAAATAGGGGGAGGTGTGAATACTCACAATGCTTTTAGGTAATTTAAATGGTTCCTTGAACTACGCTTCACTCGTACCACTATCGATTCCTACACGATGTTACACACTAATGAGTCTGTAATCGAAATCTAATAATAGTATACTTACTACTACAATAGAATTATGCCAATATTGTGTCAAAGTTAGGTTTTGTATAAGTTCCAAATACTTTTCTAAAAATTCAGATTTCCATATACCAATTGACTTATTACATTTGCAAGTGACAAATCCCATTTTGTGTTATTGTTTGAAATGCATTTTAGCACTTTTGGAAGGGCGTTACAAGCTAAAAATCCAAAACTAAATGAAATCAGTTCTACAAAATTTCCAAACTTTACATTTTAGTTCTAATTATAATTTAGAATACTCTTGTAATTTTTCATGATTTTTAAATATGTTTAACTATTTTTCCACCATTTAGTTCCTTGAAAAACTCATAACATGGTGAAAATAGAAAATAGTTAATAAAAATTTCCATTATTTTTTTTAAAACTGTTATATAATGTATATAAACTGGTAAAAATACTCAAATTGATTTTCAAACAGTTTAACCTGATTTTATGATTTTTATGTGTTGATTCTAACAAAAATAGAGATAATTAGAAAACAGTTTCTAAAATTTCCCAAACTTTTTGTACTAGTGTTATTATACATATAAAAGCTGGGAAAAATTACCAAAATTGATTTTCATATAATGAAGTCTGAGTTTTGGATTTATGTGTATTTAATGTAAGAAATACAGCATAAATAGCAAAAGATTCAATAATTCTTCAACATTTTTGTAAAATTGTTATTTGATGTATACAAACTAGGAAAAATATCAAAACTGGTTTTTGAACAACTTAACCTGTTTTTATGATTTTCTTGTATTTATTTTATTAAAAATGAAAATTAATACTAAACTGTTTAGAAAACTACCCATACTTTACATTTGTGGAAATTTTGTGTACTTTTTAAAATAGTTTAACTATTTTTCCCTGATTTATTCTCATAAAGAAGCATTAATTCATGAAAAATTAATAAACAGTAAGAGGAATTCATTAAACTT